ATATTCATCATTTCATACAAACATGATAAATTTTTATTTCCATATCATGAGAATGCCTGTAGAATCTATTTTGAGAAACCATTTTGTCTTTCTTAAAACTGTTTCTTTAAAAAAAATTCATTTTAGTCATTCTTAGGATCTAATTACGACTTAGCGACCTTCAGAGGAAGGAGTAAGGTCGTCCCATGACTTAGCATCTTTCATAGGAAAGAGAGAGATCGTCACCAGATTCAGGTTCCTTTAAAAGAATGAGTGGATCACCCCAAATAACGACTCAGTGTCTTTCAAAGAAAGAGTGAGATCATCACCATATTCATCGTCCTTCAGAAAAAGGAATGGATTACCCCAATTATGACTCAGCGTCCTTCAGAGAAAAGAGTAAAATCGTCCCATGATTCAGTATCTTTCAGAGGAAGGAGTGAGATCGGCGCCATATTCAACATCCTTCATCAAAAAGAGTGAATCACCCGAAAATGGCCAGATCTCTTCAAAATGAATGAGCAGTGTTGTTTCCAAGATTGACCCGACATCCTCAGAGAGAAGTTTCCTTAGAGAGAAAGAACAGTGTCAACACCAAATTATCTCTGGATTGACCCGAAGGAACAATGTCAATACCAAATTATCTCCATATTGACCTAATTTCCTCAAAGGGAAGAAATAGTGTCAACAACAAATTATCTTCAGATTGACCCGATTTACTTAGGGATAGCAACGGGCCGGGTATTGGTCCCCCCGTCCCTGTCCCCGTTTAAAAAACCGGTACCCGTCCCCGTTTAAAAACCTGCGAGGATTTAAACGGGGATCCCCGTCAGGTAATCGGGGAAAACCGCGGGGAAACGAGTATCCCTGTTTAGCATAAACGGTTATTTAAACGAGTATTGGGCCGGGTATTGGGTCGGGTATTGGGCCGAGAATCGGGCCGGGTATATATATATATTTAAATTAAATATATAAATATATATTTTTTATTTAAATTAAATTTATAATATTATATATATATATAAATAATTATTTTTAATATTTATCGGGTCGGGAGGCGGTACGGGTAATCGGGGCGTCCCCGTTTAAAATAAATGAATTTTCCCCGTCCCCGTCCCCGTTTATCATCCCCGAACCCGACCCGTTTAATTCGGTTTTCGATTTTTCCCGTCGGGTTCGGGTTTTTTTGCCATCCCTAGATTTACTCATATAGATGGAACATTGTCAACACCAAATTATCTTCAGGTTGACCCGATACGATATCCTCAGAGAGAAGGAATAATGTCATCACCCGAAAATGGCCAGATCTCTTCAAAGCAGATGAGCAATGTCATCTCCAGATTGACCCGATTTTCTCAGAGAGAATGAATAGTGTCATTACTCGAAAGTGGCCAGATCTCTTCAATGTGGATCAACAGTGTCATCTTCAACACCAAATTATCTTCATATTAACCCGATTTCTTCGTAGAGAATGAACAATGTCATCTTCAACAAACAATGATTGTATCATTTGAGAATATTTCTTGTGAAACAAAATTTTAAAAATTATTCCTTTAGACAAATTATTTTGAGTCTCGCTTGAGAGAACATTGGGATGCAAAAATGAAAGATAAAATCGAACGAAAACTCATTATCTTTTTATCTTTGTCTTATTCTTGTCTTATTCTTGTTAACACAAGAATGGACAAAGAATGAAAACTATTGACACCCGTTTTCGTTCAGGTTTTTATTAATATTATTATTATATAAATTATTATTATTATTATTATTATTATTTTACAGACCAAATTACATCACCCGAAGCCCAAATTGCGTCAGATCCCAACCAACCCATTTACCCTTTAACCCAAAACAGCAGGCCCAAATTACAAACCCAAACATGCCCACCTTTTGAAAACCCTAATGGCTCATAATGTTAACATTTTGGCTAACCGTAACTTAGGGTTAGCCACCTGCCGCCAGTAGAAGAGAAGGGGCCTACGTCGCCGTTGTTGCCCAAGCCGAACCAGCTCCTGTCGTCGTCACCTCTGTCGTTCGTCCCATCACTTTAACACCGCCGTTGTTCTCATCAAATGCAACCAAATCAATCAACAATGAACAAAATCAGTCAACAAACAAATAAAAAAATGAAGAAAATCCTAAAAAATCTAGAATTGTCAGGGGCTCGATTTTATGGGAAATCATTCCCTATATTGAAGGCCATTATTCTACTTAGCATCCAACAGACAAGATAAAAAAAGGAGAGAAACCATTTTAAAACCAGATCCGGAGACGAACAAAGAAAGAGTAGAGCAAAAAAATAGAGAACAGAGAGATTCAAACCGGGGAAAAAAAGAAACCGAGAGGAGCAAGATTCGAACGGGATTCGAATCATATAAAAAAAGAGATTCAGGAGACCATTTTCGAGCAAGCATATAGAGATAAAAAAAAGAAGGAAATAAGAGAGAAAGAGATAATTTTGTACCTTGGTTTGAGGATCACCGGAAAGTCGAAAAAGATATCGTATTTGGTGTTCTTGAAATGTATAAATTTAGATCTAGACTTCTAAGATGAGTTTTTAGGAGTGGGGGGCATGGATTCTGGTTAAGGGAGTGGATAGGAGCATTTGGGGGTGGGGTATTTGTTTCCCTTCCGACCACTATGAACGGCGGTGGAAGCCACCGGTGAGTGGTGGCCATGTCTCCGGTGAGAGGGGAAAGTTGAGAGATTATAAACTCTCTCTTTCTTCAAAACCAAAAAGAAGAATGGGAAGCCTTCATGAAGTTAAGCCTTGATTTTAGGCTTTATCTCTCTCTTGAAACGCTGTCGTTTAGGAGAGATGGAGTGTGACCCACCTCTCTGTGGGTTATTTACACCTGAGGTTCGTCTCTGTTTGTAATATTTTTGTTTTGGTCATCTATGTTTTGTAATCTTGTTTTGTAACCATTGAATATAAGTTTACATTTCCATGCTTCAAGCTCTAAATTTTATTTGACTTTCATTTTAGTCACTGATTAATTAATAGTTTGCTTTGGTTAAATTTGTGCTTTGATCCATTGATTTTCATATTGTTATATTTTGGTCCCTGTTTTGCCGTTTATTATATATTAATCCTTGTAATTTTTTGCATGAAATTTTTATTTATTTATTTTATTATTATTTATTATTATCTTACTATATATATATATACGCATGTATAGTTTACTATATATTATAGCATATATCTTTTATAATTGTTTATTTATTCAATTTTTTAAACCTTCATATATTCACATATTATTAAACTTTCATTTTTTTAGTTTTAATTTATAAAATATTTATTCATCAAAGTTTTATATCATTATTTGTTACAAGCTTATTTGCACCTATGTTCAAGAACGCTAGTCGTAGAATGGGTGTGAAAAGCACCATTCGATAGGAGAAGTGATAATCGATGACATTCAAATGAAAAGCAAACTTGAGTTTAATTAATCTATTTCATTAAAAGGATCATATTTTAATTCCTGACTTGAATTTATGATTTCTATTGTTACGACGACATATAAGCGATTAGGTATCGATTTCGGGTGTTATGGGGGTGTTTACCTTCCTCGCACGTAATCGACTCTTGAACCCTTAAAAAATGAATTTATGATAAAACACAGACCAATTTTTGTCTTTAAAATATTTTTCTTAAAATTGTTTAAACAACTTTTTTAATTATTCAACCTACCTAATTCAAAAAGGTCGATGGTGACTCCAAATTTCAAATTAAATCACAATTAATTCAAAATCCCAAATTTTTCAAAAATAAAGTCATAATTATTTTTAATTCGATTATTTTCGTAAAAAAATAGTTATGACAAACCCTTTTTCGTTTCGTTTTCGATATATACAGCTATGTAATATTAGATTCTCCGAACATGCATGCATAGGTTAATCGAACATGATTTAGATGATGGGAATGTGGAGATCAATCTTGAACATACCAAAGACATTGTGCCTTATCCGCAAGATGATGCAGAAGCAAAAGAAACTGGCTATTTATGCCGGTGCCTCTTGATATTCCATCTTTCATAGCTAGCGGCTTTATATTACATGATTATATCAACTTTCGATGTTGTTTCAATAGGACATGCCGGATAGAAGCCCCTCCCGATCGGATAAGAGAGTTGGCGAGAAATTCACTACCTCCGTTGCTCGTGATCGGTAAGACGGGTGATGATAAGTGCAAGTTTATTGATCCCCTGCAACAAGTAAGTTATCTAATGAATAATCCTAACAAACTCAATTCTGTCAGAATATGCTACTCCAAGCAAGGCTGGTGTTTGATGGTACATAGCTACGTCAATCCCGGCATGTTTCTTTGGAACCCTTTTACAAAGAAAATCATCCCACTCCCGGATTATTTTCACTTCGCCATAAGAGGCTGCGAGTTATTATGTTCACCGGAATCTTCGGAGTGCGTCGTAAAGCTGATATGCTCTTCATGTGACTACATATATTTTAATTACATTGATGTTAAGGAGGGAACATGGGCAAACGAATGTTGTTTGGAGAAGAATGCATTGAAATTAAATAAAGACAATAATCTGGTTTTTTATAATGGAGATCTATGCTTTCTTGACTCACAAGGAACCCTCAACCAGTTGAAACCGGATTTACTTATGTACCCTATATTTGTGTTTGATTAGATTAGAACAATAATATTAGTTTAATCATCTGTTTTTATACTTTTGGCATTTAATTAACACAGTTGTTTTCATCTTTCTCCCTTAATCAAATTCTTTTATTTTCATTTCTAATTATTTTATAACTTCAATTTGATGATCATTCGTATATTCTACTCTTAATATTATGGATATTTTACGTCTACTCTTATATTATGGATATTTTACGTCTACTCTTAATGTTATGGATATTTTACGTCTAACCGTGTCCAGAAATAAAATACTAATAAATGATAAAATGATGATATCTTTATCAACAGATTTGATTGAATGAGCAAAAATTCTATTGATTTGTAATCTTCATGATCGTCTTCTTTAGCTAGACTTTTAGTTTTACACGCCATAGAAATATTTTAAAATACATATCTTTATTATATAATTCTTTTTTACTTCCGATAAAACCTTAGAAAAATCCAGCAACGTCTCGCACTCTTCAATGGCTTTCTCCACCACGCCAGTCTTCAACAACGGTGGAAAGAACAACCACATGGCGGTACCCACCACGAACCCCACCGTCAACGCCGCAGAAATAGCCGAATGCAGCCGAACCCTGCCGGAAAACACCCTCTTGACACCGAACTCCACGAACACACACGCCCCCTGCAAAACGAAGTACCACGTTACCTCCCACGTGGGACTCACGCGTGTGATATAGTAGAACAGTAGCTCATGCATCAGACCGGAGACAAGGAAAGCCGCCAGCACCGCAGGAAGCGGAGCCCAATTGGGCCCCAACACGTCGTCGAAAAACGACCGGACGGGTTTGTACACGGTGTGACGCAGTAGATACGACACCGTGAGGTTCCATCTCTTACCCCAGAAATCTTGCAACGACGTCGAGAAATAAGGCTCGTCGGACGGCGGTTCGAGTTCCAACTCCGACGTAGCATGTACTACACCGACGGCTATGCCAAAAAGGATGTCTATCGATAAATACACGAAGCAACTATAGAGAAGCAACACGATCTTGGGGTGCACCTTTTGCTTATAGCCATGCACACCCGCCAATATGGCAAAAAGCAACACTTTGGTAGGCCAATTTAGAGGCAATTTTGGATCTTTTTTAGATGAATTTTGATGGATTTGGGGAGTTTTGAGAAATGGGTGTTTTTTGTTTTCCTTGATTTTGATGGGGAGAGAAGCTATAATGATGAAATGGAATAGGGAGCGTTGTGGGTGATTTGAGAGTGGACCTTTATCAAAGGCAAAAAGGAGGAGCTTGAAGTTGCCTAACCAAGAGAAAAGCAAAGCTATTAGGCCTGTGGGGAAGACTTGTGAGAGGTAGAAGGGTAGGATGGCGAAGAGGAAGAAGATTGGGAGGAGAGAGATGAGCCTAAGCTTGCCGGTGGAGATCTTTGAGGCTAAAAAATGGCAATAACAAAGAGAGGCTAAAATTGAGAGACATACCTTAACAAACTTGTTCATTTCCCCTTCCATTTAGGCTTTAATTTTGTGAAATTTTTGCTCATCTACCTTTTATTGTTTGTTCAATGTGTGGAAATGGGTGTGTTATGGTTTTGGACAACTTCAAAGGAAATTTTATTAAAACACAATGGTGTTAGTGGGCTTGTATTGATCCTAACATCATCAAACACTGCCCATTTGATAAGGAAATCCAGCCTTGGTCTTTTTAATAGGATAATGGATAGTTTATTCTTTATTTAATTACACCATTAGTATTAAACTTCATATCTAAATCTATTTACATTTCGAACCCATCAATTAATATCAGTGATTAAAGGGAGTGTTATTCCTCCTAAAAATCTCAAGTTCAAACAATTACATCTGTGTATGTAGATACTATCGATAACTAAAAAAATATAAACAAATATTACCCTATAACAACCCTAGATCGTTCATCTAGACGGGAGCAAATCTTTGCGTTGCAGACATATTCATCGGGTGCATTTATTGTAGCACTGAGGTGTTATCCATACGAAGCTTCATTTATGAAATTTATCCTATTATTATTGTTACTAAAGAATATTATCTAAAATACAATTGACCGGTAACAAAAAAAAAAGTAAAGGAGGAACTTTCCTCTTTAAGGGTATAATTGTATGAGTTTTTGACTTGTGGCCTCTCCTACCTAACTGCGACCATATTCCCTCGTATGGGGTTCACACAGTTGCAATTTCAGTATTTTCATTCTCACATTGAGATGAACCCGTAGTGTCCAATGCCTCATCATCTATGCTCAAGCTCGAGATTTCACCACACAGAGACGACCTGTCATCTTCACCGCTAATGGACGGTGCCGGAGATGCATCCGATGCATAGGTAGTACTACCGTTGCCATTGGAAGGTGATAGAGCCGCGTCACCCTCTTCTGCTGCATGTTGAAGGCACCAGTACATTATGCTGGCTGTTAATGTGAGGATCATTTTCTGGTTTACCTGCCAATATCGTAAGAGCATCAAGTTGTAAACTCCATATATTCATCCATTTGCAATAACTAGAACCGATCGTATAATCAGCTACGTAATTCCTATTCGGTAAACAGATGTAAGTTCGAGATTCAAAATGAAGCATCTGCCTCTGTTAGTGTGCTGACAATGTAATTCATGCAATTCGGTTCGATATTTAAATAAACTGCCAATGTCGCCAGACTGATGCATCGATACAATGCAGTAGCAAGTGACCTAGCAGAGTTGCACCCTTACCTCCATGATGTCCTCAGGCAGCAAGAAAATGGAGCACCCGAGCTTTCGTGTCACGCTTATGATATATGTTGCGTTCAACCTCCTCTCCTCATCTATAATCCAACAAGGATAAAATACAATTAAGTTCGGCTCAACCTCAACACTACTCAGAGAAGGTTTGAGAACTAATTCGCTTTGTTCCAAATATAAATAAAGTCATCAAGATAACTTCAATTAGAAAATAAATGTACCACTTTCACCCTTAGTTACGAGGTTCCAGTTGACCACTCTTGGTTCCACCGCACTTAAAAGTTCGAGGAAGAACAGTCCAGTGGAAAGGCTTTTATCCTGCAAATTTAGTATAATCCTCAGCCCTAACTCTTAAACTATGATGGATTCTTTTTGCATTCTAAACTTAAACTATGAAAGTTAATATATAATCATAATGCTGATAATTGTAAAACCTTGAAGCTATCTATTTGAGTAGTTCTTCCTGAAATTTTAACTTTCCCGTTTGCCCAATTCAAGATATCTGCATCAGTTATCTCCTTTCCTCGGGAGCGGGATCTCAAACTCTTTAGAAGTTGAAGCATGTTAAACCTCATTAATTGCCACAGGAAAGCTGTTACACATGTAATCCATGAGCATTTGCACAACCATCGGACGTTGAGCAACCAAGCATATTTTTTAAGAATAAATAAAAGCTGCAAATAATTCCCCACCGCATGAAGCATTGAACCAGAAGAAAAAAAAAAGATACGCCGGAAGATCAAAAGCAATTTGTCAGTCTTTCCATGCAGGTCGAGGTAGTCAACTTACCGGGATGTAGGTTCTTTTATTAATAATAATAATAATAATAATAATAATAATAATAAACCAAGTTTTCCTTTTTAATACAGGCAAAAAAATTTCAAGCTGGGAAGGGAATCATATTAAATCAGAAAAAACACAGAGATTACCGACTATGAGTTTTTTATTTCCTTGCACTATATCATTTCCACCAAGATTCACGACGGAAAATTTCAGCTGTTTCCCGATCTTCACTACTTGATTGCAATTTTCCACTTTCCTAAATGGAAACTTAATTGGAGGTTTTGTTGCATGCTTCCAGTTCACTGATCCAGGAGCAACTTTATCAAGCACCTCTAGGAGTATCCAGCTGCATCAAAAATCAAGCTTTGATGCATCCCTCAAAGATGATCGTAAATCTATATGACATAAACAAGGTGAATGTGAAAGTGTTTTTGCATGCTTGGACATAAAAATGCATGCATGCCTTCGCCATAAGACAAAGGACAAGCAGTCAAACCGGTGCTTTCATTGTTTCATTATTCTCGGAAGGATTTCAAAAACCAGGAAATTAACCTATCCTTTTGTAATGTTGGCTTAGCATCTACAGCAGGGATAATTCATGGAACTCGAGCGATTTAACTACATCAGTAGAGGAAAACTTACCCATTTCTGACATCCTCAAAGACGTTATTAACATAACTCTCAATTCCAAGACTATTGATCCATAGTCGAAAACATCTCTCTTCTCTGGAAATTTGAACATCATCTGTCATCCTTTCTGCAAAAGATATCTTTTTGCTATCCGTGCTCAGGCCATTCCTGCAATATCATACATGCTTTTCTTACTCGATTACATAAAGATCAAAGAGCAAACTTTAGTGTTACTAACTAAACAATATAAAACACCGACATGATAGTGGCTTGTAGACATGGCAAACAATTAGATAACACCAAAGCCAAATTGTTTAAACATCAAATTGTAGCACTTCCTCCAAAACTTTCGAACAAGAGATATTAATGGCTATACTGTGCAATTAGAACTAAGCCATTCATGACGTAAAGTACATGAAAAAATCCATGCACCCTGATTCCTAGTTTAGTATTAACAGTTTATATAGTTCATACGATCATAACCTATTCCTAAAACCTCTTAGAGTGGGGGGCTAGCTCCAAATTTCGATCAGAAAACAGCTTTATATGAGAAACCTGGTAAACTGAAAAGGCTTTTTCTTCACACAAAAAAATCAATGTCTGTTACAACTTACAACAGCAAGGTTTGTGATTTCTAACCTTCCATGGAAGATTTGGGCCACGAATGCGAGATTCAAGTTTGTTGAGCCCTCAGCAATGTCTTTTGGGCTCAGATACCTTTTGCAACCCATCCTCTCAGCGTGATCAAGAACAAGTTTAGCCCTTTCAACAGGATCCTTTGTATCTAGGGTCAACGGATTGCAGTACTCTGGTGCCAGAACATTAAGCAGGTAAGTGTAAGCTTTTCCATCCTGCATGTATGAGGAAACGTGTAAAATATGTCAAATTACCAATGCAAGAAAAATAGATCAATGCATCTTATTGGAGTATAATCATCAACCTCGACGCACTTCATCACGGTATCAGTTTATCCAGCCATTGTGAGTGTGACTCAATGTAAATTAACATATTCAAATACCTTCATATCTGAAGAAAAATTTGCAACAGTTTTCTCATAGCCAGCTTTATTTAAATGGAAATTCATCCATTTTAGTAGAACCTTCTCGGGAGCTAACCCCATAAGTTCCTCAACATCCTGCAAGTAACAGTAATTATAAGGGAAACAATCTGTCAATTTATTTAAACATTCTTATTTCACGTTTTATTCTTAATTAAACATCAATCACATGATGAGTATATTACCGCATTGCTATCCTCCACCAATTCCACTAGCTGAGGTGTCTTCTTAAGGTTGATATCTGCTAAAAGTTGAATCTGCAGTTTTCAAAGACAGTAAGGATGGGAAAAAGAGTACCTGAGAACAACTTGTTTTAGGTTAACCTCCTACTTTTCTCGGTCCATGAAGACAGTTTAAAGCCTACACAAGACATTGCAAATGAATAGTATAGATGAAATAAATGCCTACCTTTATAATTTGAGATATCAACCCAAGTACAAGATGAGGCTGCAGTAAAAATATAATAGATGAAAACTGTTGGATTATCAGAATGCTTCATCCTAACTCGTATTAGCAATCTGTTTAGCGGCACTAACCCTTCCTTCAACCAAGTCTTGAGTGCCAATATTTACGACAGTGCAGCCGATAGCCTTAGCAGAGTTAAGACAGAGAGTATGGTTCTCATTCCTCTCCCATGGGTTAAGTACCCTTTTTGTGTTGATGGCTCTTTCATCTATTGTTCCAGGAACAGCAACATTTATAAGCTTACTGCACAAATAGAAGACACAACAGAATCGGTAACACCACTTTGTACCCGATCTTATTGAAGAAATAAATAAGACACATGCATAATAGAGCACACCCCATAAATGTACCATAAGAGTACTCCATCTTTTGCGAGATTAAAAATATCATTTGTAGCTGGATCAAGAGGAAGAAACTGTTTTAAAAATGGGTCATCCGCAAGATAAATATTAATGTGTGTTACATAAGTGGCTTTTTCCGATTCACTGATTGTGTGGAGAAGTGTGGTTGTGGAGGCCTTTAGGAAGGATGACGAATTCTTTGAACCACCCAGTTTTCCTGTAGCCTGACCTTGCATATTTAAATACACCTGCACATTCCATGCAACCAATGGAAATGTTAGGCTCCTTTTACTAATTACAGTATCTTGTATGCAACTTGAAAGAACGCAAACTGCCATGTAAGTCAAACTGAAAAAATGATTCCATTTTTCAATACAATACTGTGATTTTAATAACAGTAAAATAGAAAACAAGTATACAACCGATAGCACGCAGAAGCTCGAATGCACATGACTCACCCTGAGGAATGTCTCAAAATCAATCTCGGTGCTCATGTCACTATATGATTCACCCAATATCTGCCTAATCTCATCCTCAGTAAGC